TTTATGGCTGAGTAATATTCCATTGTATAGGTAGACCACATCTTCTTAATCCAGTCTTCTGCTGATGGGCACTTATGTTGTTTCCATGTCTTGGCTATTGTGAATAGTGCTGCTATGAACTTTGGGATGCGTGTATCTTTTCAAATTGGCATTTTCATTCTTTCTGGATGTATATCCAGGAGTGGAATTGCTGGATCATATGGTAGTTCTACTTTTAGTTTTTAAAGGAATTTCCATACTGTTTTCCATAGTGGCTGCACCAATTTACATTTCCACCAACAATGTACGAGGGTTCCCTTTTCTCCACATCCTCTCCACCATTTGTTATGTGTAGACTTTTTGGTAATGGCCATACTTTGACAGATGTGAAGTGATACCTCATTGTGGTTTTGATTTGCATTTCTCTAATAATTAGCGATATTGAACACCTTTTCATGTGCCTGTTAGCCATCTGTATGTCTCCTTTGGAAAAATGACTATTCAAGCCTTCTGCCCATTTTTTGATTGGGTGGTTTTTTTTTTTTTGATATTGAGTTGTATAAGCTGTTTGTAGATTTTGGATATTAACCCTTTGTTGGTCACATCATTTGCAAATATTTTCTTCCATTCCATAAGTTGTCTTTTCCTTTTGTTTATGGTTTCCTTTGCTGTGCAAAAGCTTTTAAGTTTAATTAGGTCCCATTTTTAAATTTTTGCTTTTATTTCTTTGCCATAGGAGACTGATCCAAGAAAATATTGCTATGCTTTATGTCAAAGAGTGTTCTATGTTTTCTTCTAAGAGTTTTATGGTTTCTGGTCTTACATTCAGACCTTTAAACCATTTTGAGTTTATATTTGTGTATGGTGTTAGGTAATATTCAATTTCATTCTTTTACATGTAGCTGTTCAGTTTTTGTAGCACCACTGGTTGAAGAGACTGTCTTTTCTCCATTGTTTATTTTTGCCTCCTTTGTTATAGATTGATGATAGGTGTGTGGGTTTACTTCTGGGCTCACTAAAAATAGGCACATTGATCTGTGTCTATTTTTTATGCCAATACCATGCTGTTTTGATTATTGTTGCTTTGTAGTATAGTTTGAAGTCTGGGAGGGTTATTCCTCAAGCTTCATTCTTTTTCTTCAGTAATGCATTGGCAATTTGAGGTCTTTTGTGGTTCCATATAAATTTTAAGATTTTTGTTCTAGTTCTGTGAAAAATGTCCTAGGTATTTTGATAGCAATTGTGTTAAATCTGTAGATTTCTTTGGGTAATATGACTATTTTAATAATATTAATTTCTTCAATCCAAGAGACAGGCTATCTTTCCATTTCTTTGAATCATCTTTAGTTTCCTTCATCAGTGTTTTATAGTTTTCAGTGTATATGTCTTTCTCCTCCTTAGTTAAGTTTATTCCTAGGTATTGTTTTTTTTAATGTCACTTTAAGCAGGTAATTTTTTTTTTACTTTTTCTTTCTGGTATTTCATTATTAGTACATAGAAATGCAAAAATTTCTGTATTTTGTATCTTGTATACTGCAACCTTGTTGAATTCATGTTTTTACTTCTAATAGATTTGGGGTGGAGGTTTTAGGTTTTAAGTTTCTCTGTATAGAATATCATGTCATCTACAAATAGTGACAGTTTTACCTCTTCCCTTCCAATCTGGATATCTTTGTTTTTCTTGTCTGATTGCTGTGGCTGGGACTTCTAATACTATGTTAAATAGAAGAGGCAATAGTGAGTGTCCTCGTCTTGTTCCTGAATTTAGTGGGAAGACTTTCAGCTGTTCACCATTGAGTATTATGTTTGCTATGGGTTTGTTGTAAATAGCTTTTATTATGTTGAGATGATACATTTTTATTATGTAGTGTCTCTCCCTTTCCTCCTTGCTTCTCCCAATGTTTTTTACTTGCTACTTATTTTTTTGGGGTGGAGGGAATATTTTTGACATTTCTTTTGGTATTATCTACTCACATAATATTTTTTCAGGTTAATTTTTTAAAGAGTGGTTGTTTATTTTATTTTACTCAAATGTTAAGTACCTTTCCTTTTTCAGGTAATTGTAGGTCCTAGATATTATGCCATACAGTACATGTTAATCCATGTCATTCATGTTACTGATGTGACTTCTACAATTCACTTAACCAGTTACACATTGATAGTCATTTATTATTTCATTTTATTTTTTACCGGGAGCTAGACTTTCAAATTATGTTATCAACTTATTCCTAAATTAATTTTGATTGTGATTCCACTGAACTTTGAAATAATTTAGAAAGCATAAATATCCTTACAGTATTAATTTTGGTTCTGAGTATTTTTAAACCTTTTGATAGACAATGCCAAATTGGCTTCCAGAAGTACTTATCTTCCCACATCCTTGCCAGCATAAAATGATATATCATTGGTGTTTTAATTCGTAGTCCTTTTATTTCTGGTGGAGTTAAACTTTTAAAACATATGTTTAAGGATATTTATATTTTTTGTGTCATTTGAGGGCTTATGTTCTTTGCACATTGTTCATTCTTTCCCCCCTACCCCTGTTAATTCTATATTGTTCGGTAATCTTTCAGTTGCAGTGAAAAAAAAAAAGCCAGTTGAATTAGCTAAATTCCAGGGGTGGAATTTAATGGTTGTTTTAATGGTTAAGTCAAGTAATGATCTTATTTAGTTCTGGGTAGATCTGTGAGCTTAAATAACAATTTAGGATTCTTTCTCTCCTTCCTTCTTTTTCTCTTTTCCTTCATCTTTTGCTTCTGCTTTCCTTATTGTTGGCTTCATTCTTGGTCAGAATTTTTTGATGTTATAGGAAAAGTGGCCCCTAGGATCTTTTGGTTGCTCTCTTTAAAGGAGAAGGAGCCATTCTCATTATCAGAATGCATATTAACTCCCCCTCGGGAATCCTGACATAATTGGGTCACATGCCCACTGCAGGACCAACCACATTGTAGAGGGTAATGGGATATTTTCATTGGCCCACCCTGTAATTGATACCCTCATAGAATCATACTCAGTAGAGAAGTTTTCAAAAAGAAGAGATTTAAGACAGAAAAGCAAAAAAAGGCGCCCATTTTAGTTTCCAAGAGCTCTTTATATCTTAAAGATATGTAAGGTTAGACTCCCAAGTTCCATGAGGACAGGAAGTTTTGTCAGTTTTGTTCACTGGCATATCCTAAGCACCTAGAAAAGGGCCTTACACATGTTGGTCATTAAATAAAAATATGTTGATTAAATAAATAAGAATATTAATTTTGTTTGTGGTGATTTTGATATTCAGAAGGCTGAATTTCATGTAGTCTATCAGTTTTTCCTTTATGATTTCTTCATTTTGCTTTTATCTTCAGAAACTTTTAAAATAGTAGTTTTGTTATATTTTAAGCCCATTTTTCAAGATGAGTTAGCACAAATATTATGTTCAAATACATGTTCACATTTTTGGTTAGATAATTCATGACTTTTTCTGAACCTGTAAGTATACTATGCTTCATGCAGCAGAATTGGAAACTTTATTAATTTACTTCTTTGTGTAAATGTAATTATATAAAATTTGCTGCCACTCACTATATCAAGAGATTTGTACTGAATATTTTTGCAAAAAATTACTTTTCAATCTAAATGGTCTCCTCATTAAAAATCTGGCAAACTGTATTATTGTCGTATACAAAAACCTTTCTGACAATTCAAATGGCATGGGCCCAAAGTCATCTTATGGAATGGAGGGAAGCTCAACAGATTTAAGACTCAAACCTTGTTTCCTGAGCTGACTTTGATGTTAATAATTGCAGCTCCTCAAGAGCACTGTGGTGAGGTGCTGGTGGAAGAAGCAGCTGGAATAAGAGACAGGACCAGCATCCTCTGGCCTGTCTGCCTGGGAATGCTAAGTATGAACCGAACTTGACCACTGCCGGTGTCCCCAAAGCTCTGGGCTTTCTGTGAGGAAATAGGCCTCCTGTGTGTGCCTTGTTAAATGCCCAGGCTGTTGACTCTTCGATTACTTTTTTTTTTGACTCTTTGATTACTAATGCAATCGTAGTGATTAAAATTTTCAGAGTGCTGAAAATTAGATAATTTAATTATAAGGGTTAACTGTGTCTGGATTTCTGCATGTAGGCCTCATTTTGAAAGCCTATTCTCAGCTCTTTAAAATGTGTGATGATTGACAGTTCTCCAGCTCTGATCTACATCCGTTATTTATTTTCAGTATTTATGTTAGATGCTATTCTGTATTTTTTTATTTATCATTTTTGAATTTTCCCATAGTGCCTACGACAGCTCCTCATGCTTCATAATGGCCCAATAAATATTTATTTAATTATTTTATTTATACTGGTGCCTTTTGTAAGAGAAATGGAAAAATGAATAATCTGTAATCTTGGCAGTTAATGAATATAGTTCTCTGCAGGAAATAGTCCCTGTAATGTTAAATAAATGCTGTATTTCCTCAAAACAGGATTTTAACAGAAAAGAGTATTTGTTAGTTAGCTTAACAAAAAATAAACACTCCTTTTTAAAAAAGTAACATGGCTTTAAGTTTTCCAGTAGAAAAGTGTGGTTTCATTATCCCAAAGTTAATGAACAATCATTAGAGCAATCAGTACATACTGTTTAATAATAATCCTTTTTTTTTTTAGGTACAGGGAAAACAATGGTGATGGACATGTTTTATGCTTATGTGGAAATAAAGAGGAAAAAACGGGTTCATTTTCATGGTTTCATGCTAGATGTTCACGAAAGTAAGTTAATGATCTAAAAGAAGTGATTTATAAACACTACAAAATAATTTTCTTCATCTTATAAAGTTCTTAATCTTCCAATCTTTTTAAAAATTAGATTTTTGCTAAGAGTAAGATTTTATTTTGTTTCATTTTGTGCTGTATTAAAACAATTAGTATTGTGTCCAGAGTTGGTCCTAGAGACAAATTCAGTACTTCCAAATAAGAAAACAGAGGTAACTCTACGAAGGTCAGGCATTTTCTCTTTCTAGTAAGGGTCAGTGAGAAATGTTAAAGCCTCACTTTTTCACGAAGCTCTTCTTAATTATGTCCTTTCTTCTGTGCCACCTTGCATGGAGCCATTCAGTTTGTCTTTGTATGTATGCTTTATTGCTTTGTCAGTGCTCCTATGTTATTTTGTGTTTGCATTATTTGTTTACCACCTTTACTGTAAACTCTTCAAGGCAAGAAAATTGTGTTTTTCTTCAAATACTTTAAGCATTTAGTACACATATAATGAATGAAGTAGGACTGGCTAGAAAGAAGGGAATATTCTGATTAGACATGCTAGACACAGGGCAGAATCATCTCCTGTGCCCACATCCCTGAAATCCTCAGGCCTAAGATTGATTTGTCAAGCCATCTAGTCACCATCTAGTCAGCTGTCTATTACTTTGTCATCTCTGAAGTGACTGAAGAGTGGAAATGGAATGACCACAAAGTGTCCTTACACCGTGGGAGTATAATCATATGTGAACAACTTATTTTGAGGTAAAGAAAATGCAACCAACTTCAATAATCATATTTGATTGTATGTGGAATTTAAACTTCACTTTTATGTTACATTAATGTTTCATTTAGAGATTTTAAAATGTGTTATGGTTTTCTAAAATGTACTATTAATACAATATTTGATTTGTGTTTAATTTCATCCACTTAAGGAATACACCGCCTTAAACAGAGTTTGCCAAGAAGGAAACCAGGATTCATGGTTAAATCATACGATCCAGTAGCTCCCATAGCTGAAGAAATCAGTGAAGAAGCTTGTCTCTTATGTTTCGATGAATTTCAGGTAGAGATGTTATATAGATGTAAAATAGTATACTGAATGAAGTATGAAGATGTAAATTCTGTTCCTGATTTTATCATTGTTTTATAAATTGATTTGACACATTATCTCTTATGTCTTTAATTTTATTTTCCAGTCTAGGCAAACCTGCTTGCACAGGATAAATCTGGCCCATCTGCTTTTGTATGGCCAGTGAGAAAAGAAAGATTTTTGTATTTTTAAAGGTTAAAGAGAAAGAAAAGGCAACAAATACCATATGTGGCTTGCAAAGGCTAAAACATTAACCATTTAGCCTTTTATAGGAAAGGTTTTCTTATTCCTATATTCTAGTCAGTGGATTCACATTTCCTTTACACCATGATGGAGATAATATAATGATTATAAAATAATGTCTTTAAAGATGTTTGAGGGTTTTTTAAGTGTTACTAAAGAACCAGTGATTCACACATCTCTGATGCTTCACAACTTACCTGTGATAAAGGGAGAGAATTGCTCTAGTTGAACTTTTAAAGTTTCTTCTAGTTTTAGGATTCTCTGAAATTGTGCATTTATATTGGTACTCTGTCTGTCTGTCTGTCTTTCTTTTTTTTTAACATTTTTTAATTGAGTTATGGTCATTTTACAATGTGTCAAATTCCAGTGTAGAGCACAATTTTTCAGTTATACATGAACATACATATATTCATTGGTAGTATTTATTTCTTATGAGAGCAAATAGGGAATCAAGGTAAATACCATGTCTTATGCTTCTTCTGTATCCTATGTAATGCCCAGTGTTATAATAAAAATAATAGTAATAATAATGATGATGATAGAAGATACTCTAGGTTAAGAATTACTTCCTCTTTATTTGACTGCTTTTTTTGGTAGCTCTGAAATGTAATAGTTGGTTTTTCTTTAATGCTTATCATAAGTACAATTGATTATTAGAATGAAAATAGAAAAATCAACAAGTACTGAATGTAAGCTTAAAAATAGAACTTCACACCTAAAACTTTTGAAAAATATTTCTGGAGCTGAGTGCAGAAACTCCTGTGTCTGATTGCCTAGAATAAAAACCCAGAGCACTATTAAGAGGAGACTAAGGTAGGCCCTGGGTGAGTCGCATATCTCATTTAAGCCTCACAACATATTTGTTATGAAGTGAGGAAATTGCCCTAATTGAATTTTAAAGTTTCTTCCAGTTGTAAGATTCTCTGAAATTATACATTTAAATTGGTAGTGAGTTATTTCTTGTTCTTCTGTACCTAAAAACCTGGGTTAGTGAAAAGATGATGTGCCTTTGTTCTAAATGAGGCATGGTAGGTCTCCTCTAGCAACTCAATACATATAGCTGACAAGTCTCAGTTTATGATACAGGAGAAAGGAGACTTTTCACGAAGAATGGTGTTACAGTGAACCACCTGGGGAAGAGGAATTTTTACTTCCTGTTCAGATAGTGTGGCATTCACCATTTGTATTGTAGAACTACAAAGGTCTTCACAAGAAAGGCTTATGGAAAAGAGATGTTCCTCTGCTGCTCTAAAGAGGTATGCTAAGCACACCAATGTATTGCAGAAAGAGAAGGGCCTCATTTAGTTCTAAAAATAGTACTGAGTTAACAGTTATGTGGCTTTCAACGACAAGTCAGTGATGAATCAGTAAAGACTATCTCTCTCGGTTTCTCATTATGATTCTCTTAACCAAAATATCTCTAAATAAAATTGAGTTGACAGTTAAATTTTTGATTAAGATATTGAAATTAAAATTGTTAGAAATATATTAATACCTAACCTTTGTAAAATAATTTATGATTTAAAAAGTGTTTTTATATCCTTACTTCATTTAATTCTGTAAGATGGTTATTATATCTCCATAATATATATGAGGAATATAAAGGCATCAGAATTTCCTAGGTACCATGTAAAAATCATTACCTGTAACTTAAAAAATGTAAATTTTAAAACATTCAGCGAAATGATTGGCATGTTTTTATGACATAAGGATCATTGGCAAGATTGTTTAAGAAGGTTAGTAAAAGATAAAAATCTGGTTGTGCAAAGGAGGTCCTGAGAATATTTATGACAAATAGGGCCAAATTAGGCTTGACAGGCACAATACTGAGGGTCAATGATACTTTTTGGGTCCCATGAAAATAATTTACTTTCTTTTAAAATTTGAAGAAATAAATGAATATGTAAGTAATGAATCCAGCCTGTATCTGTCTGCCTCTGTACTATATTTGACTTATACCAACAGTTATAAAATGTAATTTTTATATATATGTATATTTATGTACATATATATTTAAATACACTTATTTTTAATTGAGGAAAGGGCTCATGAAAGTAAAAGGGCCCATGAAAGTCATAATGCCTCCCTGATAGGTCCTAACAGGAACCTGTCTGGTTGCTCTGGGCACTCTCCACTGAGTTCAGATTTCAGAAGATCAAATACATGGTTGGGAAGAAGGAAACAAAAGCAACCATCTATCAGGATACTCATGTTCCAGATGAGTGAAGTCTTGCAAAAGAAATGCAGGCAACAAAAAGGATTTTTCACAGTACATATTAAAGATGTATAAGGGAGATCAAAAGGGAGGCAGGCCACTTACTTATAAAACGTTGCTTGCTAATGAAGAGAAAGTGGATGTGATGGAGCTGTCATTGCCTGCCTTATCCAGAGTTGGTTTGATGTTCATTCATCCATTTACTCATTTATCCCAGTAGTCTTAAAGAGCCTTATTCCATACCCCAGGACCCTATCTGTCCCACAGTCAAATGGACCATGTCTAGACATCTGATCTGTGAGTAGCTTGTTTACAAGCTTGTCAACAACCTTAGCCTTGTGTGGTGTGGCCTGGGGATTGAGCCAATCATATACTCTTTATCATGTATTTGAACTTAAAGGTATGGAGAGAAGTTCCCACTTAGTAATGAGACAGGAACAGACAGACATAGGAAGTAGCTGATTCACATTAAGGGGAGGGGTACTAGGGTGCTCCCTAGGCAGCTACTGAGCTAACCCTGGAGCTACCTGTAATCCCAGGCCAATTTCCAGCTCCAGTTCCCAGGAGGTGCTCTCAGTGCCCTTCCCAAGCTAAAGTCTCAAGTATAAACCCCTTTTCTTTAGCTAAATCTTTTGTACCTGCTTCTTGCAAACAGTGTTGATGAGAATGGAACTATTCAATTCATGTTTTGCTTCTGTCTTCTGTGGCAAGAGGATTTCCCTATCATATAGAAAAGATAGCACCAACAGAAATAAATACTGTGAGGAAATGTTACCTTCCTTAATAAAAATCTGTTACCACCAATGGAAGGAGAATTATGTGATTGTTGAACCAAAGTCCAAGAAAAGCAAAGAGATGAGGTATTTACTAGAATGCTTTTGGCTGCAGATAACAGAAAACTCAACTTAAAAGGGCTTAAACTCTAAGGTAGGAAATATTATGCTATATAGATGGTGTCATTCCTCTTGCTCAAGCCCCCGCCACCCCCCTCCCCCATTTTCTCTCTGACCTTATCTCCTATACTTTCAGATTCACTCAATGCTCCCTACTGTTTCCAATCCTATTTTCTTCATAGATTAGGGAACCATAGTAAATAGTGAGTGTTATACAAAATGCTTCTCACCAGGGCTCTGAAGGAAATATGCACAGAGACAACAAAACAAAGACTGAAAACCAAATTGATTGCTCTTATTTGACTGCAAATTTCAGTACAGCATTCTAGTATGTTAAATTTGACAACACTGGAGACCCTTTTCCCTTGAGCAAAGTTGACCTTAATGTCCTAGAATGAAAAATGTTAATAGTCTTGCTCTTTGTTTCCTTGGCATTTCCAAACTTGAACCTTGGAGCTTACTACTGCATACAAGAAAAAGCCAATATTTGCATATACCCCTTGTTGAGAAGAGCCAGGGAGCTTAAGAATATGTCAACAGTGTGTCCCTTAACAGAGATGATCACTGAGCAGAGCTTGGATTTCCTAGTTTCACTATCCTAGACTATCTTCTACTGGTCTTGGAGAAGTTCCTCCAGCACACCAAAACTGGATTATTGAAAATCCAGATATCTGCTTGTCTCCCTTTTTCTAAAATTCAAGAGGGTAGAAAGATACCCCTGAATATTGCTGCACCAGCACTCTGACCCCTAACATCCATACAATTTAGAACAAACAAGCTGAGGCTCTGCACTGGGATGCTCTTTGTGCATGGATTAGCCTCCCCGACATACCAATCAGAATAACCCTCTCACTTCTTCAGATCTTTGCTCAGTTACCTCCCTAACAAGGCCTATCCCTATACCCTGTTTAAAATTGCAATTTGCCATGACCCCTACACTTCTAATGACCCTACCCTCCTTTTTTCATAACATATATTACCCTCATAAATATTTACTTATTATGCTTATTATTATATATATATATATATATATATATATATATATTTATTCCTCTACAGAGATGTAAACTTGAAGGCAGGAATCTTTGTTTTGCTAATTGATGTATCTCAAATGTCTAGAACAGTGCTTGAGAATGAATGAATGAACAATAATAGTGAATGAAGGAGTGAATGAATAAATCCTTGTACCAAATAATAGCTATTGAAGTAGCCCCAAACTAAGTCCCATTTCCCTGTGTGTAATACAACCTATGTTTTTCCCATCAACATTCTGAGTTATCTTAACATTTTTGTCTAACTTAATAGATGAAAAATGGTATCTATTGTTTTAATATATATTCCTTTAAGTAGTAATATGGTTTAATTATTTCCATGTATGTTTACTTACTGTTAAAATCCATCTTTTATGAGCTGTTTGAGTCAATGCCCATTTATTTGTTGGAATGCTTGTATTCTGTCTATTAGTATATTCTGTAATAATATTACCTACTATTTACTGAGTGCTATTTATGTGCCTGTGTTCTTAACTACTGTACTGTGCTATGTATCATTCCATCTACAGCTAAAATTCTGTACAGCTATACATAAGTAATGGAATTATACTAACTACGTATATAGGTAACAGTCATAATTAACATTTCTAGAGGCTTTACTACATGTATCATAACAATTTTGTAAGGTAGATATTATTACTGCCTTCATTAGATTGATGAGGAAATTAAGGGTCCGAGAGGTTAAGTAACTTGTCCAAGGTCACCCAACTGGTAACAGTTTGAATCCATCATCAGTGCTCTTATTTGCTAGTAGGAACAGCTATGTTATATGTTATCCTTGATATATATCTTTTATTATGTGTTTAAATATACAGATCTCGTTGGGCTTTTAGTAGATGTTTTAATGATAGAACCTAAAAATTATCCTTAAGCCTTTTAAGCCTAGTACAATACATTGCTGATTTACTAGAAAAGAATTTTTTAGGCATTTTAATCTTAACAACAGTATAACTACAATCATTACACTTTTAAAATTGACTCCTATTAGTGGTCTTGATTTTTAAGTAATTATTGGCTTTTAGATGGTGTTAATATAATATTTATTTCACTAGGGAGATGAATGAGAATTATTGCTGCTTAAAAATGAGAATACATTCTTTTTTGTGCTCTTGAGTTTAGGACATTTTGAAGATTATGTTTTGGTAGCATTCAGAATACATTTGCAGAATATATTCCTCGTTAGCTTGGCCATCATTACTAAGTGTAGCATTCCAGTTTTACCTGCGGTATCAGATACACAATTCTTATCTCATTTGAGAAATTTGTCTAAATAGGATGTTTTTATGTGTTTTAATTGCTTAAGTAAAAGAGTAGGTTTTCCTTAAAATTTTCTTTAGAGTCTTCATTATATTCTCCTTGAATATTTGTATTATTATTAAACCGTTTATGATTCTGAAGATACCAGAATACTGAAGGAAACTGAATTTTTTTAAAGTGTTATTTCTTCCTGTCCTTTTTTAGGGACACTGGATAGATGTTTCACTAATACAGTTCAAAAAAAAAAAAATACGGTTCAAAAAACAAAAAGTCTGATGAGCAGGATATCATGCAAAATTCTTCTCTATAAGCTATCAATATCATTTAAAAAATAGTTTTGACCGTTTTTATAAAACAAGAAACCTATTAAAAACTGCTAATAAAAACTAGATGCTTATTTTTGTGCTAATACTAATTACTGATAATGCATGCTTATGTTTGTCACTCATTACATGGCACTGTACCAATCAGTGGATGACTGAGACTCAAGCACTTATAGATGTAAATTAACCATTAGATTTTTTTTTCTTTTCTTACTTAAGTGAGTCACAATGGAAAGCAACTCTAGGTCATAAAAAATCTTGTCTCTTTAATGCTAATGTAATGTCTCCGCTCTCTGTATTAGCAGACTACCCTTGGTAGTAATCTGTAGCCTTCTCCTTTGTTCCTAGTGGTAATGAAATGCTGGGTGCTGAAAAAGCTCGCTCTTCAAGAATGTGTGGCCAATTGTCTTCTGTTCACTTATACTGTAAAATTGCTGTTCCCCTGCAAAGCCGAACAAGTGCAGGGGCAAGATCAAAAGAGTATACATTGGCACCCAGCTACACCAAATGACTCCTGCTTTATTAATTAGCCATAGCTTCTCCAAGTTAATTTACTCCGCCAGGGCAAAAACATTCCGTAATACAAAAACAACAAATTATAATTCAATCACAAGTCTTTATTTTTTTGCTTTCTTCAACTTTCTGTTTAAACCTTTGCACTGTGTTACAGGCTAAATGTCCCTTCAGTTTTCTGAGTCTCAGGGCACAGAAGCTATTTTTATTTTTTTCAAGAACATCAGTGAGATAAGTTAGATGATTATTTTTATTCTCTAAAATTGGGTAATTTTAATTGATATCATTCTTTTTAAAGGCCAGTGTATGGGAATCCAATTTAAAAATGCTGTTGCTTACTAAATTTACAAGCTTGTTCTGTCCTCTCATCAGAAATGCCACTGGCGTTTAAGCATTTGAAAAGGGCCTTTTCTGTGAATGTTTTGGCGGAAGCAAAATTTGACAATGATCCTAAGCTCCAAATTAAATAATATCAGTACTACTTTCCTTTTCATTTTAATTGCCACTTTGTAAATTTGAAGCCTTTTTAATTTATGAAATCTTAAGTAGTTTTTTAGTTAATGTTTTGAAGATATAGCCTGAAACAGCAAAAAAAAGATCTGTACGTCCCCATATCCTGATTTGGTTTGGTTTGGTTCATATGGGAAGGAAATAAGTAAACTTTTGAGTAAGATATTAGCTGAACGAGAAAAGTGATTTAGACTTGTGTGTCACCGAGGTTATTGTTGTTAGTTGTGTTATAACACTTTAGTTGGTAACTTTTAATATTTTGATCTAATTTGAAAAAATTCCACTAGTTTCTATCTACTTTAACATGATTTAAAAATAACAATGTGATATATATTATGTGATACATTTTGTAAGTATAAAATAAGCTTTTTTGAAATGGTTGAAAATGTGCTATTAAACAAAAATCAAAACATTCTTACATTGGGAGCATCCCAAATCCATGTTGTTATATTCATAGGGGAAGGTGCAGTGATTTCTATCAGCCTTCACTATTTTTTTTGAAGTCAACTTCCTTCCCTCCTTAATTTTTGTATTTCTTTGTGTTTTTTAAAAGCTTTTTTTTTTTTTTAAATAAGTTAACATTAAGCTTGCTTGTCAGTTGTGGATTTTTAAAAATAATTTTAAAAAAGATTAACAGTTATATGTATTTTTGTAAATTATATGGAATAATTTTATCTGTATTATGCATTTCTGGTTTTGTCAGAAGTGATTTTTTAAAAATCACTGTGTTAACCATTCTTGTAAGGTTTTTTCTCTTCTTTTTGGTAGAAGGAATATTTGTGTTTGCGAAGGTTAGCAGAGGCTGGCTGTGCTGGAAGTGACTGCAGTGCCTTTTGATTATTCATGGACAGTAATAGAAGGCACTTAAAAAGAACAATGAAATTGCTTATTTTTGTGATGGGCCATCTGTTGAATTGTTTTGTGCAACAATTGCACAATAGTATCTATGTCATATCATTCTATTTTCAACAGCAGCTGATTATGTCTCACTGGCTACTTGTCCTTATTTCTAAAGTCCCATTACAATTTAAAGTCACCTTTTCAGAGACCTTTGCCAAAAAGGTATTAAAAATCTCAAACAGCCTGTGTATGTGTTTTTTACTCTTTTTTTCTCTTGCTCCTCTTTTTGGGGGGGAGGGTGGCTGTGATAGAAGTAGGAGGGGGGAGTTGATCATGTTCTAATTAATTAGACATCCTAAATGTTTAGGACAATTATCTATGCTTTCCACCTGTAGTTCTATAAAAGAAGTTAACATAGAATCATTTGATAATTTGTGTAGAAATGATAGGCTTGAGAAAAAGAAGAGTCAAATTTAAAAGACTACTATACAGTCTTTCATGCATTTAATTATCTACTCTTTTCTTCATTATGATAATTAGAATTTTTCTCTTGGAATTCACTTCCATCTTTTTTTTTTTTAAAAAAATGAGCCATTAGCAAATTTGTTAGAGCAGAAGTGAAATTAAAATAAAACAAATGTGTTGCTGTCCATAGGTCACTGACATTGCTGATGCCATGATTCTGAAACAGCTTTTTGAAAATCTGTTCAAAAATGGGGTCGTCGTTGTGGCAACATCCAACAGGCCACCGGAAGGTAAAAACAAACATTGTGCTAGTCACATCCAATTAGGTGGAAACTAACAAGCTTTTAAAAGTCCACAATTTTGTACTCATTTTATTGTGCTAATAAATATGATGACTTTGCTTATCATTAGTTTTATAACTAACTTAATCTGAAAACTCAGTATTTGAAAAATGTTTGTATCCTTAGCAAGCTCAATCCAGGTGATCCTTCCGTGTTCGATGCACTTGCTGTTTTTGTCTGAGTATTTGATATGTCATATGTACATATCAAAAAATACAGGCCTTTCTAACAGCTTTTTATGAGCCTTAAAAAAAACTCAGTGAAAAGAAAGACAAAACTCCTAATTGAATCTTGGAAAAAGACTTAAAGCTTGCCTGCATAAGTAGTTGCTGATACTTCATTTAACTTATCATTTCTAAAAAAGCACTTGTGGCTTATGAGAGCATTATTTAAGAATTAAAATACAAGATTATATAATGGGGAGGATATAGCTCAATGGTAGAGTGCATGCGAACATGCATAAGGTCCTGGGTTCAATCCCCAGTACCTCCATCAAAGATAAATAAAACCTAATTACCTCCCCCCAAAAAAACCAAAAATTAAAAAAAACCCATAAGATTATATAGATAAAAAAAGTTTAAAATCTTGTACCTTTCAGCCCGTCATATGGTCAATTGAAGGTTGAAGGAACCAAAAATATTTTATGCATTCTTAATGTTAATGTCTTTGTGCCTGGAATGCTGTTCCACCAGATATCTACATGGCTAAGTCCTTACCTTTTTCAGGTCTTTGCTCAAGTGTTACTTTGCCAATGAAGCCTAGACTTACCTCCCTATTTGAATCTATAACCCAAATCTTTCTTTTTTTCTGGCACTGCTTCTCCTTACCTGGTCTATTTTTTTTCCCATAGCACTTATGGACCCACATTATAATTTACTTATTTACTGTATTTATAGTTTCTTGTCAGTCCTCTTTCAGAATGCAAAAGATTACTGTATTTATAGTTTCTTGTCAGTCCTCTTTCAGAATGCAAAAGCTTCACGGGGGCAGCAACTTTTGCCTCTTCTGTTCACAGATACATGTATTTTAAGCACCTAGAACAGTACCTTGCATATGGATGGATCTCAGTGAATAGCCTTGGAATGAATGTTGAATGAATGCATGTTTTTAAAGGATCTCTCTGGTTGCAGTACTGAGAATAGGTTGTGGGGATGAGGTTTCAAGATTGGAAGTAGAGATAACATTTAGGAGATGATTGTAACAATCCTCAGGGGAGATGCTGGAACACCGAGGGTAGTGAGAATAGTCAGATTTTGTAGGCAGAGTCAAAAGGATTTACTGATGGAATGAATATGGGGTATGAAAAAAAAAGAGGTATCAAAGACTCAAAGGTTTTGATCTTAGCAATTGAAAGGATAAAATTACTGTTTACTGAGATGGGGAAGATGACAGGAAAAGCTAATTTGGGTAGGAAGGTGGAAGTAGGGGTTTCTACAATTATGAGGCAGATGCATATAAGAGTTTGGATTTCATTTGAAAGGTTTGTACTAGAGATATAAATTTGAGAATCATCAGTCCTAAAGGAAGCTGAAAGAGCAGTCAGTGAGTAGGAGGAGAGCCAAGAGAGTATCAAGCAAGGAAAAGGAAAGTGATACAAAAAAGATGGATGATCACCTTTGTTAAGTGCTGCTAGGAGGTGAAAAATGAGGTAGAAAATTGATCATTGGAATTGGTAACATGGAGTTCATTATTGAACCTGAAAAGGGCAATGTAATATTGTGAGCTGCTTTGTCATCGAATTTGTACCCAGTTATTACTATGTGAGCTGCTGTCAAACTAGATCTCTCTTTTTCTATATTTGTGTAGTTGATTTTTTCTTCCTGTTACATTCAGCTTATTAGTTTGTCTATGTTATTCCATATTATTGATCTATGCTGATTTTTTTGAAGTATGATGCTAACAAATTATTTTTAGCTACTCCTACTATGACATTTATAAACTTAGTAATCGTGCTTCTATATCTTGAGCCATTCATTAATTAAATATGTAAACAAAATGGGGCCAAGTTTAGACCCCTATACTATACCATTGGAGGCATTATTTTAGGGAGACATCTATTAGTTAATTAATACTTTTAGATCCAGTTATTCAAACAATTATAGTTATTCCTAATCTGGTATACTATAAGAGAATTAGAAATAATTTTGTCAGATGCATTTATTAAAATCCTTATAATGTTACGTACAGCATTCTGGTGATTTACTAGTGTAACCACCCTATGAGACAAGGCAGTGAGTTTCTTCATATTAGATCATTGAGAGGGACATAAGGTTTGACTCTACTCCAGCTGACTTATTGACTTAGTGGCATCCTCACTGTTGCCTCTAGACATTCAGTGATAAGCTGTGTTCATAAAGAGCAAGATGCTAGAACAAGCTTAGAATGCCCTCCTAGGAAAGACTGCAGAAAAGAAAATTGCAGTTGGCTGCTCAAGCTACTGCAGTATGGTGAACTGGGGAAGGACAACTGCAAACAGAGGTTAAGGAACATTTTGGAGCTCATAGCTTTGTAGGAATGAGAAGAGTTATAGGTGCACTAAGGTAGCACATAGCAATTCGAGGTGGAACCACCCTTCTGGAGAGGACTGAACATCCAAGATACAGAATTCCAAGAATTTGGCATTGGCCTCAAATTTAAAGAAAGCTTTTTCTAAATGTGAACCTAGACAGGATGCTTATCATACACCAGGTTTCTTAGCAATAGCCAACAACTAATCATCATAAGTAGCTTAATATTTTAATATAAAGAAGATGGTATGTATATATGCCATCTCCTAATGTTGTGTATGTGTGTAACACACACATGTATATATAATTTTTTGTATATAATTTCATGGATGAAGAAATAAGACTTAGAGAGATTAAGTATGAAGAGGTAAACATATAGGACAAAGAATGGGTCAGTGGTTGCCGGGGCTGGAGTAGGGAGGTATTTGACTACAAAGGGCCAACATGAGAGAGTTTTAAGGGGAGGTTTGAAACTGTTTTGTATCCTGATTCCAGTGGTGGTTACATGTGTTAAAACCCATAGAACTGGACAACAAAAAAGTTAATTTTCCTGCGTATAAATTAAAAACAAGTCACATGGATAGTGAGTGGCAGAACAGGGGCTGTGACATAGGTTTTTGTGACTATTTTCACAGATTATCCTTTATCTTTTCTCCTTGTTGGTCATCACTGATCTTTGTCTACCCTGTCCCAGATATACTGTATCCTCTTTCCCTGTCATCAAGATGCATTCAGCTTTTTCTTCAGGTACAGCTTTAAATCTACAGCCCCCAGGTAGTTATTATCATTTTAAAAATAGCATATACTTATTCTCAGAGTATTACAAGAAGTGAGAGAAGAACCTTCCTGGCAGAAGTCCAGTGGTTGGAGAGAGTGGCCCATTTTAGGAATTGAAAGGTAGCCAGTGTGGCTGGAGTGCAGTGAATGAGGGGAAGTAGAATGCAGTGAGGTATAAGGTGAATCTGAAGAAGTGAGATCTGGGACCTTATAAAGCAGTATGATTTTATTCTGAGAGAGATGGGAAGCCATTGTAGTGCTTTAAGCAGAGACTAACAAGGTTGGATTCGGAATATCACTGTGGTTATAGTATAGAGAGTGGGTTATGGGATGGGGTGCAGTAATATGGCAGATTTAGGGAGACATATTAGGAGGCTATTGCAATATACTGGGCAAGGAATAACGATAGCTTGGTATAAGGCAGTGATTCTCAACTAGGTGGCTGTTATGCAAACCAGTGGATATTTGGCAATGTTCAAGACGTCTTTGGTTGTCACAACTAGGCAGGATGGGGTGTGGGTGCTGCTACTGGTATCTAGTAGGTAGAAGCCAGGAATTTTACCAAAACATCCTGTAGTGTACAGGGATATCCCCTACAGCAAAGAATTATATAGCCCAGAATATCTATGGTTTCAAGGTTGAGAAAACCTGGTATAGGGTGATGCCAATGGAAATGGAGAGGATAGATCTGAAAGATATTTAACAAGTAAGACAGAAAGTACCTAGTTATACGTTGGATATTGAGGGAAAAGGAAAGGACAATTTCTGAATTTCTGGCTTGTACAACTAACTAGGTGAGTGGTGGTGCCTTTATTCAATACAGTCAGAATAATCTGGAGGTTAGAGGTCTAGAAGATATTGCCCAGTGGAGAACAATGCATATTCCACCCCCACCCCCAACTCTTTAGCCTCTCTGTTTAATTTTCTTCCACATCATTCTTCTCATCCCCTCTATTTCTAGCTATAGTGCATTAATTTCCTGGGCAAGAATGAGTGTTGTTGTTGGAGATTACAGTCTCATACCCTCATCTTTTATTTGTCAATAGCTTAATTGTAAATTTATAGATAAATTATTAATTTTAATAGAAAATGATAAGAAACATTTAATAAATAATTAATCATTTTAATAGAAAGTAATTTATAGTCAAGTAAAAGCAACACCAGAATTTAGGAACTTAGGAGAGAAAATAGCAATGGAGGGGAGTGGTCTGGGAAAGTCCAGAAGAAAAGAAAGGGAAGCAATACTTCAGGGGGTAAAGGAAATAAGTTATTGAAGAGTGACTGCCTGTATGTCACTGTTTTTTCTCGTCCTCACTTTTAAGTCCTACCTTGCTTGGGTCCAGGCCTCATTCTATGTATACCATGTGGTTGTTAAAACTCAAAACCAGTGTCAGCTCATGATTACTACTTTAGCTTTTAGCTTCCTGTTTGTTTACTGGCCTGCAGGGATTTTCCTACTTTCTTGCAAGCTCAAAATATATTTGCTATATTTTAAACATGTGTAGCATAACATTTGTAGTACTATTATTTTATATTTTTTAGTGTAATCTGGTTAAGGTTCTTGAACTTGAAGCAGAGAAGATCCATAGGAATAAGAAATTACTGGGAAATTTTTAGATAAAAATATATCTAGTTGATATTCAATTTCTCATTTTTATAAAATCT